TTTCATAACTTAGACTAAATGAAAGAATTGCGAATTGCGGATGGTTAAACGAACAAATTAAATATGAAATTTAAATATAAAAATATAAGGATGGTTAATTGTAATATTTTATTCGTGAGCAAAAACTTAATTATCTTTACGTTACAAACCCCTTGAACCCAAAAAAAAGTTTAAAAAATGAAAAAATTTCGTGTGTGTGTTGGTATTTCGTTTAGTATTTCAGGATGGGGTAAAGATTAAGAAACGAAATTTGCCTTGGGAGCTTGTATATAAGGGGCATTGATGCTATTAAATTTTGGTTGTGAAAGATGAAGGGAGTGAGGAAATAATGGATGATCACGTGTCATATCTGGAGAGGAATAGCACTTAATAAAGATTTTATTCATTATTTTAATATTTGCAACTTTTTATAAAACTCGTCTTTACCCTCAAAATTATTCTTTTTGTTATTTTATAGTAATTAAAAATATTAAAAGTTTCTTATAACAAAATCCAATAACAGATGGCACAACGCACAATTTTATTTATTATGCTTAATATTTTAAAAGTTTTTTTTAAAAAATAAAATGTAATAACAGCCGGGATAGTCACATAATTTGTTGCTGTATTTTTTTTTTTTTTTAAATAACAAAACGACTCTGGTCTCTATGTCGACGAGTTTTGATAATCAGGGAACCATTAAGCCATTGGCTTTTGCCATAGAATCTGTACTAAAGAAAACGAAATAGACAAGAGCCATACTTTTGTGGCTTTTAATAAAACCGTTATAGCGAGATAAGCTATGAATTGTAAATACCCTTAATTAATAATACCAATATGTAATTTACCTCATTACATAATTAGCAATATGTAAATATGTTTATTGATATGTGGGAAAGTAATTTTAACATTTCGATATTTTTTACTTTCTCGGTTTGTTATGTAAATAACACGGGAGATATTGGAATTTGATCCTCCGAGATTTTTGAAAATCTTCACGTGTTGAAACTTCTTGAGATTCTTTTTCTTTTTGGGGGGGCATTCTTCTAGTAACCGTAATATGAAGATTGGTTTAATTTGCTTTGAAATCGTTTTATGTTAACAATATAAAACTTATTTAAGTTTTTAAAATATAGTAATACAGTAGAACATCGTTTATCCGAATCAATTGGGGACGGGTTGTTCGGATAACTTATTTTTCGGATAACCGATTATGTACGAAAAAATATATTAACCTATCCCGTATTGAAAATTTTCTCCGTTGCGTGTCGCTTCGCGTTGAATTTTCGTCGATGTTAAGCCTAACGTAAACTTTTTAAAATAATAATCGTGGCTATTGTATCGTTAAAAATGATTTATTTGTGTTTTACAAACAAAATAAATACATTGAAAAATATAAAAACTNTACAAACAATGGTCGATATTTAAAACAAAAACCTGAAAAATAATCTTATAATAAAAACAATAAACATATTCCGCAGATTTTATAATCTGAGAAACGAATCCGGCTATCTAGAGTGGAAGGCTAATTTATTTACTTCCTCGACCATTCAGCCGTCAAAGGTTTAATTTCATCGTTCTAATAGAAACATTACGTAATAATCCGCCACAGATTCTGTTATTTACAGATTATAATTCTTCTAAAACAGTTACATCCCTCTTAGTGCTCTCTGAGTAAAAAGAGGCTTCATCCCTAAAAAAACCATTACGTTTATTTTACATATGTACTGTACAATGTAATGAAATTATCGGCTACTTCAGTGGTGCCCAAACTACGCCTCAGCCAAATCCGGCCCATGACACACTTTAATCTGCCCGCCAACATATTTGACACATCACTTAAAAAATGATAGAAATAAGCCTGCTTTTTGTATATATGAAACATACAAAATATTTGTACCCACCTATCTAGACTTATGCGTAATTCAGCCCGACAATCAAAAAATTTGGGCATCTCTGCTCTAATTAATTCCCAACACTTAACACAGTCCGCCAGCGACCGAGTGAATAACACTAGTAATTGGTTGTAAGTTTATGCCTTGTAAGCGGGCTTGTCACATGGAGTTTTCCTGTTTTCTTCACGTTACTAACACTTAAATAGAAGCCAGTTTCCTATAAAAGAAATTCCGGAAGATCGCCTGTGTCGCGTCACCATATACGAATAAAACCAACCAACCAATATAAACATAACCTTTTTATAATATATATACTGTATATATATATTAACTGTTTCCACCCTGTGGGTACTAAGGGAGCCTCTTTCAATAAGCCTATTATTATGGGTTCGGCCAGGCCAACAATGGTGCGGCCGGTTGGTGAGAGACGGGTGAGAAGACATCCCCCGAAAAATTCCTGGAGATTTTCGACCCCGGCTCCCACAGAGCGGTAGGTGCCACCTTGACCATTGGGCTATCCGGCCGCCAATAATTTATAATATCAACCTATCGCTAGCCCTAACATAAAAAAATGTTTTGGTATTCTTCATATGTGTAGTATATAAGTAGGAACCAATTTTAGATAGATTCCACCTGGGCAGAGCGCCCCGTCTTTCATTAAACTACTTTATATAAAACTTTAGTGTATCATTTTAAAATACTATATAATTTCAATTAATGATTTTATTACTTAAAATTTTATCATACTATTATAGCGTCGTAACTTCAAGTTATCCACAATTGTACAAGTTATATTTGGTAATACGAAAAAATTCATAATTGAACGTACGGTAGAAAAGTATCAGGCGTTATGTACGTGCCTCGCACATTATTTAGTTTATTATATGGTCGATATTTAAAACAAAAACCTGAAAAATAATCTTATAATAAAAACAATAAACATATTCCGCAGATTTTATAATCTGAGAAACGAATCCGGCTATCTAGAGTGGAAGGCTAATTTATTTACTTCCTCGACCATTCAGCCGTCAAAGGTTTAATTTCATCGTTCTAATAGAAACATTACGTAATAATCCGCCACAGATTCTGTTATTTACAGATTATAATTCTTCTAAAACAGTTACATCCCTCTTAGTGCTCTCTGAGTAAAAAGAGGCTTCATCCCTAAAAAAACCATTACGTTTATTTTACATATGTACAATGTAATGAAATTATCGGCTACTTCAGTGGTGCCCAAACTACGCCTCAGCCAAATCCGGCCCATGACACACTTTAATCTGCCCGCCAACATATTTGACACATCACTTAAAAAATGATAGAAATAAGCCTGCTTTTTGTATATATGAAACATACAAAATATTTGTACCCACCTATCTAGACTTATGCGTAATTCAGCCCGACAATCAAAAAATTTGGGCATCTCTGCTCTAATTAATTCCCAACACTTAACACAGTCCGCCAGCGACCGAGTGAATAACACTAGTAATTGGTTGTAAGTTTATGCCTTGTAAGCGGGCTTGTCACATGGAGTTTTCCTGTTTTCTTCACGTTACTAACACTTAAATAGAAGCCAGTTTCCTATAAAAGAAATTCCGGAAGATCGCCTGTGTCGCGTCACCATATACGAATAAAACCAACCAACCAATATAAACATAACCTTTTTATAATATATATACTGTATATATATATTAACTGTTTCCACCCTGTGGGTACTAAGGGAGCCTCTTTCAATAAGCCTATTATTATGGGTTCGGCCAGGCCAACAATGGTGCGGCCGGTTGGTGAGAGACGGGTGAGAAGACATCCCCCGAAAAATTCCTGGAGATTTTCGACCCCGGCTCCCACAGAGCGGTAGGTGCCACCTTGACCATTGGGCTATCCGGCCGCCAATAATTTATAATATCAACCTATCGCTAGCCCTAACATAAAAAAATGTTTTGGTATTCTTCATATGTGTAGTATATAAGTAGGAACCAATTTTAGATAGAATTCCACCTGGGCAGAGCGCCCCGTCTTCCATTAAACTACTTTANGGGATACCTGTATATGGGAAACAATAAGATTTTTAAGTACTTTCCCAATACTCATACATCATTAGGTTTTACATATGAATCAGTAAAGTAAATTATTAGTATTAGGGTGAAGGAACGCCAATTATGGTAATGATACTGCTCAGCCAGTTTTAGCCAATTGCATGCTATTATTCTGACCATGTGTTAATAATTAATTGTTTTATTTACTATTTCCAAGATGAAAATAACTGAATGTAATGATGGTTTGTTATTTTGTAAAAACAGTAACAGATTAACAGCAAGTAAAAAGTATGTTACATTGTGCATTACTGTATAACTAACAACTTGAGAAGAGTCAGAACAGCAAATTGTGGAAAAAAACTTGATAACACATTAGACTCTTATCCTGCCAACTTCAGGAACCTGGGTTTTTTTCCAATTGGAAATAGAGTAGTATTAATGGGTGGTCTGTCCTGAATATATAGTGTTCATCCCACACTACCTGGCTACCTCTATTGTGAGTCTAGCCAAACCATAGTGGGCATGATTAAAAAAAGTCCTCTTGGTGCCTACAGATCAGATAAGGGCACTTCCATAAGTTAAATAATGATATTTTTTACAATTTTTATTACCTTATCATCACTTATAACATACTGTAATGCTTCTCACTAGGACACCTACAAAATTACATAATGCATAAGAATTCCTTCTATTTCTAGTTTCTGATACAAAGACCTGACCATAAACAGAGTACAGTTCCTTAGTAATACTACATCTTACAAATTTTCTATACCAACATCATAAAAACAAGAAATCCAAGTTTTTACATAACTCAAAAAGTTTTTAAAAATTCAATCGTACGTACATTGATTTATTCAGCACTGAATGTCAAATTGTAACATTTACCTATTGGAGAAAAAGATTTTAATTGATCCTGTTTTCATCCAACTTTAAAACATGCAAGTCACCAGTTTTAGTTGGCTAGATAATTTATATTGTGCAGACAGAAAGCAAATTCAAATCAGTTATCTTGATGTCACTGCTTTTAATTAAAATTTTAAAGTAAATAAGATTTTTACATTTTTAACCGATTGCCAGATGGCGAAACGTCGTTTTGACGTCATTAGAGCAATTGTAAGACCCCCCTAAGGAAGCAAAGAGGAGACGGGGAATATATAAAGGAGGAACGTTAGCTGTTCGACGGCTGCCACTGGAGCCCACAAAACGGAAAAGAATCGAAAGTCGAGTGAATGGCAGCAGCAAGAGTGGTAAGTTCGCTCGAAAAACAACAATCGATATGATATATAAAAATTAAAAAGACTTAAATATAAGATCTTTTGATCTTGAGTCAATCAGCTTTTGACTTAGTGAACAAATGTCGGAAGAGCGAAAAATCCGAATAGAAAATAAACCAATTGTGTTTGTCGATTGGGACCTTTTCAGGTACTACATATATATATATGTGTGTTATTGCCGCAAAAAAGAAAAATAAACAAAATTAAGTTTTACCAAATATCTTTTATATTTTTATTTGTGATTGGGAATAATGATAAGGGAACTTCCCATGCTTGACAAAAGTGGAACAAGTTTTTTCCTTTGTGTCCCTCTTTTTGCTTTAGGCTGAAGTTATTATTTTTCAAACTTTTTATATCCTTGTTTAGAAATGAAATATTATATGTAATATACATACATATATTTATGAGTTTTATTTATTTATATTATATTAAAACATATAAAAATTAGAAAAATTGAAAATTGAAGGGGGTAAAAAAATTGAATTAATCTAAAGTATATAATAAATTGTAGGGAGGAATATATTGATTTAAAGAAGAGGTTCGGTTAAAATTACCGGGAAACGAAGCTGCTACTGAAGTTTGATACGGAATTAATTTTCGTCCGATAACGCGAATTTAATAAATTGCATTTTTTATATATATGTATATATATATATTTATACGGTAAATTCAAAATAATTGAAAATGATTATTTCTTAAATAATACAGTTTTGGTTACGTTGTATATTTTTTAAATAACAATGTCTGTTTGTTTGAAAAATAAAATGTTTTTACACTTGAACTTTAAATTTCAATAATCTTCGTAAAATGCTTTGATTCTAACTGGATTGTGTATAGGATTTTATATTTCGATGATATTGTATATTAGTACTAACAGATATATCCGGTGCTGTCTGGATCGAAGACCAAATTTTTAATGTTTGTCCTTATTATCCTTTGTCTGGCATTGTTAGATATTTCCACTAGTAATTTCATAAAAAGATGAGAAAATAAAATTTAGAAAATCATAATTTGTTAAAAAAAAACTGGGAAAAATTAAACACTGGTATATCTTAAGAAAATTATAGTAGTTGCAATGAGAGATTGCACTTGGTCAATACTGTCTGTTTTAGAAATGGGTGACAGGATGAGTTAGTACTCTCTGCATCAAAAGTTTTCTCTACTGTTTTTAACTTGTTTTTGGGGATCTATTCAACTTTCTATTAGATATAAATGCGTTTATGAAATTGTGTGAGATTGACTATTAAATCCTTGGGTCACCCCCTCCAGCCCTCCTCCACTTTCCGAATTATCATCCAGGTTACAGAGGATTTGCTTATGTTTACACAAAAGTTCTTTTTGAGGAAAATTGATATTATAACTGATAAAACTCGTACGGCATAACTACTCGCATACATAGCAAAATTATCGCAGAACTATCGCATCTTTCCTAAAATGGGCGGTTAGTATTGACCAAGTGTGATCTCGTCATGCCTACTATACAAATTAGCATATCTGTGAATAGAAACGTCAAACAGGTTCAAAAACCACATGAAATTTTGTTAGTTGGTGACTACATTGAATAATTGCTTCTGTTGCTGTGTCAATAAATTTTGTCATTGGTTTTCTTTTTATCCTCTCTTAATGAAGTCAGTTTTTGTTTTATCTAGGTATCTTTGTGTAGACTTATTCTATTGTATTTTACAAAAATATTTGTGATTAACAAATTTCTTTCAAAGTCTTAATAGAGCAAGCTGTAACAAAATATTTTAAAGTGAAATATTTCAAGAGGCAATAATTACATTTCAAAGAAACATTGAAAGTACAGGTATCCCTTGCTTAATGTGGGATTTAATTAACATGTGAAATTAATTGTGGGAATCCCTTTATATATGTGGCAGAAGTTTTAATTAATTAACTGCATTAATCAAGGGATACCTGTATATGGGAAACAATAAGATTTTTAAGTACTTTCCCAATACTCATACATCATTAGGTTTTACATATGAATCAGTAAAGTAAATTATTAGTATTAGGGTGAAGGAACGCCAATTATGGTAATGATACTGCTCAGCCAGTTTTAGCCAATTGCATGCTATTATTCTGACCATGTGTTAATAATTAATTGTTTTATTTACTATTTCCAAGATGAAAATAACTGAATGTAATGATGGTTTGTTATTTTGTAAAAACAGTAACAGATTAACAGCAAGTAAAAAGTATGTTACATTGTGCATTACTGTATAACAACTTGAGAAGAGTCAGAACAGCAAATTGTGGAAAAAAACTTGATAACACATTAGACTCTTATCCTGCCAACTTCAGGAACCTGGGTTTTTTTCCAATTGGAAATAGAGTAGTATTAATGGGTGGTCTGTCCTGAATATATAGTGTTCATCCCACACTACCTGGCTACCTCTATTGTGAGTCTAGCCAAACCATAGTGGGCATGATTAAAAAAAGTCCTCTTGGTGCCTACAGATCAGATAAGGGCACTTCCATAAGTTAAATAATGATATTTTTTACAATTTTTATTACCTTATCATCACTTATAACATACTGTAATGCTTCTCACTAGGACACCTACAAAATTACATAATGCATAAGAATTCCTTCTATTTCTAGTTTCTGATACAAAGACCTGACCATAAACAGAGTACAGTTCCTTAGTAATACTACATCTTACAAATTTTCTATACCAACATCATAAAAACAAGAAATCCAAGTTTTTACATAACTCAAAAAGTTTTTAAAAATTCAATCATACGTACATTGATTTATTCAGCACTGAATGTCAAATTGTAACATTTACCTATTGGAGAAAAAGATTTTAATTGATCCTGTTTTCATCCAACTTTAAAACATGCAAGTCACCAGTTTTAGTTGGCTAGATAATTTATATTGTGCAGACAGAAAGCAAATTCAAATCAGTTATCTTGATGTCACTGCTTATGAATAGACAGATAATTGATTTGGATTTTTGTAATTACTCAGGAAACTGAAAGTTCTTTACTTTCCTACAAAAAAAACATTGTAACTTCAGACATTGTATAGTTTCATAATGTTCCATATTGCTAGGATAATATCACTGCTCCATATTACTGTAATCCCACAACATAGGCCTAGATGTTCCCCTTAGCATTAATTTATGGAAACCTTTCCATTGCCAGATGTTAACCATTGCAGTTGGTTAACCAGATGTTAACCAACCAACTGCTGCTGATGGCACGAATTCATTGATTCGTCGACCATCAACAATTGAGACAATAGGCATATTCCCAAACAATATTTTTGTGTAGAATTGGATATCTTTAAAACAGATTATTTATATAATCTGTTTTAAAGATATCCAATAATATAGTTCTATATATATAGAGTTATATTAGTTTTCTTGTCATATGAAGTCTACAATATATGCCATATATAGAATTTGGAAACTACAGTTTCACCAGAATTCAGGCACATTTGAGTTAGTCTTGGACAGTCAAGGATTTCTTCTGTTTTTAACCCTCAAAATTAGAATAAAATTTAAAATAGAACCATTCTGTAGGTCTTGTAATGAAATGTAATATGATTAATTGTTCCATTACTGGTTTCTGTGGATTTTTTATAAACCTAAAGTTTTTGGCTTTTTTTCAGTAACTTATTACACAAGGAACTCTTATTGATATAGGCTTTCTTAATTTTGTCCTTTCTTATTTCTTTGTAAAAATAAAACCCAAAAAAGTTAATAAAAAATAAGACCTACATAAACACTATGTAAGTCTTTAGTCATTGGTAGATGTCATATGACATGGTAGACCAAATATGACAATTAAATATGTATGGTAGACTATATATGACAAGAATAACATTATAAAACATCAGCAGCAAACCGCGATATATAAAACCAACCTCCAAATAAACCAATAACGGTGTGTTTCTTCAAATAAAAATTCTCACCCGAGGAAGAACTATGTTCGAAAACATTTGTGACAATTTTTATTTGAGGAAACCCACCGTTATTGGTTTTTTGGAGGTTAGTTTTAATAACATTATATTTTTATTTTTAACTTAATTGATAATTTTATTTGCCAGCTGAATTAATGCATTCATCATATATACTGTGTATCTGTATGTCAGGGATAAGGATATAGTAGACCCTGAATTGAATGGACCAATATGAAGAGAGAGTGTCTATAATTTTTGATTATCCAACTTTCAGAGAATGTCTAAATAGTAGTAATAAATAGAAAAATTATAAGAATAACCAATAAATTAGTATGTAAAAAATAAAAATTATGTTTTTGCAATTTAAAATAAAACTGAATGTAAAGTAAACCATCTACTTAAAAAAGCAGAGGGTCTCAATGAGCTCCCCTTTATCTGCTACCTTGATAGGGTTGATCATGAGATAAGTAGAGTTTAAAGTATTTACTACCTCACTCACTATCTGCTACCCACTCCTATATTTCAGTTATGTAGACGACATTCTTGTTGCATGAGAAGGTACGAACCAGGAGCTGTCACACACTGTACACCATTTATCCATTGTGTATTCCTCCATTTCCTTCTCCATAGAAGAGGAGATGGATATAAAAATAGCATTCTTAGATCTGTACATAAATATATTTCCTATGGGGTTTCTTTATTTAGTATACTGCAAGTTTAATGATATTTCTGATGTAATCCTGACAACATCTTTTCAGCCTTCACATTACATCAACTCAGCCATTTTCATTTTCATTAGAAGAGCTTTTTTACTTTCCTCAATGCTTGTTGAACTTGAGTTATGTGAATATGTGGCCGTAAGCAAGGCAGGATATTCATCTGTGAAGTCTTATCAAGTATCTCTAGAAGTGACTCTTATGAATTACAGTTTGAATTATATAAAATAATTATTTTATATTTACAATCTCTTAAAATATCAGATAAAATTCCAAGATTGAATTTATTACAATTATTTAAAAGCATGTAGAAACGAGTCAGTCTTTGACAATCCATTTATTTCTACA